AGCTTGAATAATTGAGATTGAGAGATCTTAAGCCTCTGCAAGATTTTAAAGAGTTGTAGATAAAATTATAATTAGATAAGTTTTATCAGTGTTATCTTTATTATTTAGATTAATTAGTAAAGAATCTGAGAATCTGCTATTAAGAATCTCAGTATAATAATAGAGAATAGTATTATAAAGAAGATGTTAATCAGAGTCTAAAGTCTTAAGTGAGTTATATTTATAAAGAGTAGTATCTGCAGAGAAGTCAGTCTTCATATTATTTCAAAATTCTGTGTTAAGATTGATATAAGTGTTAACATGAGAGCTTCAATTATAGTTAAAATCTAAGAACTGATGATCAAGCTGTTCACAGTTTCAGATGTCAATGAGGTCATTATTATCATACTATAAGTTTTAATGAGTGAGTAATACTTAAGAGAGATCAAGCTTCTCTTCATTATTCTGATTATCTTCAAACTTAGATTCTGATTCTAATATATCTTCATCATAGACATTAACTGAGTGATTATAAGAAAGATAGTAATAATTAAAGATCTCTGTAAAAGAGAGTCAAGAAATGAGAAGATTAACAATCTTAAAATCTTCAATTTAATGAAAGAAGTGATGAAGAAGAAGTTTAATATAAATATAGTTCTCTGAATCAGTTTTAAACTGATAAATAGAAAAGTAGATCAACACTTAGAATTTTATACAGAAATATCTCTTAATTTAATGACTGTGAGAAAAGATTTGAAGAAATTTAAAAAATGAAAGATCTTCAAATTCAGTTAACTACTACTTATATTTTTTTAAAAAGAATGAATTATATTATAATTCATTAAATTCAAGAATATAGTTATAATAATGTTGAGATTCAGACTGACAATCAACTATAATTAACTTGTGAGAACTCATTTATAAAGAAAGATTTAAAAGAAGATAATAAATCTTCTAAGCAGATTAATTACACTCATCAATAAACTAATTCATAAGTTTAATAATTATAGAAAGTAGTGAGTAACTTGAACTGATTCTTGAAATCACTTATTGAATAATCTGATAATAGAATTCTGTATCTGTTTCAGTCTTGATAATATACTTAGATAGATAATTAAGAATGATATAGCTGTCAGTGTAGAGAGTAATATCAGTATTTACTAGTTAACTAACTGTAATTAATCTGTTATAGTTATTAAGAATTGAGTTATTATAATAGAGATGCAGCTGATAATATCTACTACTTAAAAATTTAAGAATAGTGCAGTTAGTTCAGTATTTATACAGAAAGTGAAATTAGTAATATAGATTATCAGTGACTCAGTGTTTATAAATACAGTACTTTTTACTACAGTGATAATATTGAATACAGTTGAGAACTATAGATAAATATTCAATAATATTTATCTAATCAGAATGACTGAGAAAAAGAGATAACTGTATATCTTCAGACTGAGTGTGATTAAGCTCAGAATTCTCAGCTATAATAATAAGACTTCAGTAGTTAGTAAAGACTTGATAAGAGTCTTCATTTATATTAAGTTCAGAATTCAGTGCATTCTTACACTAAAATACACTATGTAAGTGCACTGATTTACAGTCTTATCACTTGTAATAAGTTCAGTAATCTAGAATTTTGAATTTCAGATCTAGAATCTTTTTCTTAAAGATTATAAATTATAGATAAAAGTAATATATAACTATAGTGAGATAGTTATGAATACTATCTCTTATAAACTTCAATCTCTTAAGATTGATACTATGCTTTCAAATAACATAATTAGAAAAGTAGTATATTAGATTATTTCAGTGATGATCTGCAGCTGAGAGAGTAAGAAATAAATACAGAGATTCAATATTTTAAATATAGACTTATAGCTGACAATGTTTTATATCTTAAAAAGAACAGATTTTATAAAGACTCTCTACAAACTATGTAAGTAAATTTAAAATTATAATAGATTATAAAGTGTTAGTAGTAAAAGTAGTCTACAGCTTCTCTGAAGTGAGATTCTTAATAAAAGAATTAATTTAATTATAGAAAAAGCAGTTCTGATTATTAATCTATCTATGAAATATAGAATTGAAAAGAATATATTAAAAATGACTATAATAGATAAAGCAGCTATTATAATATTTAAGAAGAAACTGTATATAATCTGTAAGACTAATTATTCTTTATTTAGAGAGAATGAATTCAGCTTTATCTTGTGAGAAAAGTATTGAAAAGACTTAAGAAAAGAGTAAGTAAGTATTGTTAAACTCACTAAATAATATATTATAAGCTGAAGACAGAGTGAGATAATTAATCTATTCTTACTATAATATTTTAAGTTTATGATGAAGTTACTGAACTTCAGACTATGAGATTAAAAGATCTGAAATATCAGAGTATTCAGATAAGATATTCAAGTTATCTCTCTATATATTAAAGAAAAATCAACTTTTCCGTGCAAAAAACGCTGTAATGTGACCTCACGTGACATCACATGCACCTCATCAAAAATTCATGAATATGTAGTGACGCCTGTCAATTGCATCACTCTATCTACTCTCTATCATCACTACCACCTCTAATGCTCTGTAGTACTCTCTATTACTTTTACTTCATATCTCTCTCTTCATCTTATCACTCACTCTTATCATCTCTATCACTTCTATTACTTCTATCACTTCTATATCACTTCTATCATCTCTATCATCTTTATCATCACTGTCTCTATCACTTCACAGCTCTCTCTATCACTTTCACTTCATATCTCTACTCTATCTTCATCTTATCACTTACTCTCTTATTATTTCTATTATCTCTATCATCTCTACACTTCTTTCACTCTGACTTCTTCTTATCACCTCTTATCACTTCTTATCATCTCTATCACTTCTATTATCTCTATCATCACTACTGCCTCTATCATCTCACAGCACTCTCTATCACTTTCACTCTCTATCTCTACTCTCATCTTATTATTCTATCTCTCTCTTATCATCTCTATCATCTCTTTCATTTCTATCATCTCTATCATCTCTCTTTATCATCTTTTTCACTCTCTAGTCTCTCTATCATCATTATTATCTCTACTACTCTACAGTCTCTTCTATTACTTTCACTATCTCTACTTCTCTCTTACTATCTCTATCATATTTTAATCTCTGTGTTTATAGTATATACTGCTAAATACTCTGTAATAAAATCTCATGTGATATTATATACATCTCTTTGAATTCATGAATGAGATTGAATAGCTGACTGTGCAGTCTGTACAGCTCTGATTAATCTGATAATAATAATAGAGATGATACAGAGTGAAAGAGAGTAGTAGAAGAAGTAGAGATAATAATGATGATGATGATGAGAGAGTAGAGAGTGAAAGAGATGAAAAGAGTGATAACAGTGAATAGAGATAGAGAATGGAAGTGATAAAGAGAGTTGTGAGGCGGTAGAGGCAGTGATGGTGTAGGGGGGCTGCGGGGCGGTAGAGGCGGTGGTGATGGTAGAGAGGGTAGGAGGGTAAGGGGTGGAAGGGGTAGAAGGGGTGGTAGGAGTGATACAGGGTGATACAGAGTGGAAGAGAGTGGTAGGGGGAGAGGGTGGTAGGGGCGGTAGAGGTGGTGATGGTGGTGGTAGAGGGGGTAGAGGGTAAGGGGTGGAAGAGTGATCGGAGGGGAGGGTGGAAGTGGTAGAGGGGGCTGCGCAAGCAGAAAAGCGAGCGTAAGCGAGCATTTGATGCTTGTCAAGATTTAAATAATTCTCATTCTTAATATGTCAGGTCACGTGATCTGGCTTACTAATCCCTCCACCATATAACTTTCCACAAAGCTAGCAACCTTTCAATCACACAAGCTTTACACCTTCCACAGGTTATGAGACCTGTTTTGCGCAAAATCGCTGCCAATTCAGGATTCCTTGTCAATATATTCACTATTTGAACTACTGCTTCATTCGATACGCTCATCAGGAGTTAAAATCATCTTATTCTATCAGTATTGATGTGTTTGAGATCTTGATGATCAATAATACTACTGCTCACTTAAAAAAGAGGCTTGCAGAAAATGCACCACATTTGCAAAAAAGCAAGAAAAAGAGAATGATATTGGCAAGGATCCAATAAACAAATATTAAGATGGCGGATTCAATACGATCTCACTCACATACATGTTTGTGATCTCGTGTCCTTTTCACTGGATCAGTTGCAGTTGATGATGATAATGATTCTTCACACTCACACTCTGCCAGTGGACATTCTTCTGAAGCCTTTGAAAGCTTCATTGTTGAAACACTCTCTCAATTCGAAGCTGGTTTGAATACAGCTTCTGACACAGTCAGGCTGGCCTCTCAATCTACTCAACAGCTTGATGAAGCTGGTTCTCTTGATGAGAATATTGAACACTCAGGTGTCTACTGTTCAGATGAGGCAATATCAGACCAACAGATGAAGCATCTCAAGATGATGCTTGAGATGAACAAGGGAAAGCAAAGAGTCTTAGAACTTGAACTACAACTGGAAAAACTTCATTAACAGAGATTCTCATTCTTCACAGTTTGATCACAGAATGTTAACAATCATTCTGTCATCATATCAACAGTTACATGAAATTCTAATCTCAGTGAAAGGTTGGAATTCAACCTTTATGAACTGAATAGCCATGTTGGCAAGGTAATCTCTCAATTCAAGGAAGATGTTAAGAATACTGTGAGATCAAACAGTCTAACTGACACATTCAATTACATCACATGAAGCATCTTCATGAAATTGAAACTGGTTGATGCACAGTGTTGATATATAATAGAGAAACAACAGACTCAGAACCCTCTACAAAGAGATGATAAATGAGTATCATTCTGAGATGCCAGAAACCAGTGACTCTACACATTTATCTTGAACTTCTTGAGTGCAGGTGTCAGATCACATTTCTCCAAGTATGATGAAAATCAGATTGCTTATACTCTATGAAATGCAATTGAACAGGAATACTCTGTCCTCAAAACACAGTTATGTCATGAGGCAGTTCTGGAATTCATGTCTCTTGATGACACACAGGTCATCAATCTACACACATTCTTTGATAAGTTCTGGTCTGCCATCACAAAATTGAAGATGTTGAATGCTTCCCCCTCAGATGCATGGATATTTGATACCTTCTACTCAGTTCTACTCAACAATTGGAGGAATTACATTCAGAAGAAGATAGAGGAGATACAGGATTTCAAATCCACAGCTGTGGTATTGAATGTTGATCTTCTCATGGAGGAAATCTGTTCGCGGCTTGATTCTTCAAAAGATAAAAAGAATCTGCAGAATATAGATTCTGCAGCCAACACAGCTACAACAGCTACAATGGCTACAATGACTACTAACATCAATACATCGAATTCAGCCTGTGGAGGCTGTACTGAATGTGGTCATGGTAGTACACAAGAGGGCTTCTGAAATCATTGGGGATCAGGAAATCCATCTACATGTTCTGAATGTGAGAGATCTCACTTTGACAACTGTTGATTGATCAATTCAGACAGTGCTTCAGATAATTGAAGGATCTACAATGCTGCAAGGATAAAGGAATTCAAAGAAAAGAAGGAAAAGAACAATAGTGAGGGTGGAACTCAACTATTCATTACAGATGGATCAGACACCTATCAGATGGCAAACCTCACAGAGGTTATCAATGTGCCAGCCTGTTTTGTGGAACCCCACAAGGATCCCTCCAACGGGCGTTTATACATATCAAAAGATGTCATCTTCCAGGAGGACCTCTGTCTTGCTGATCCATCAATACCGACTACTCCACACAACCCGAAGGTTCTACCCAATGTGGCTCATAAAGCGGCTGCGGTGATTCCTTCGGTGACACCAGGCCTACCCACTGCGGCCTGTCAAGAGACTGCAGTGATTCCTGATCCATCAATTGATAATCTATTCATTGATGAGGAAATTCGACCTGAGTGTCCATTATTTCTCATACTCACTAATAATTGGTGGATTGACTATGATATCTCCGCGAGAATACCTACCTTTTTAGTGCAGAATACACTGAACTCCCCGGAACCCACAGTTGAATCTGATGACCCTCTGACATCTACAAGGGATATCACTACAGTGGGGGAAGCTTCAGTGGGGGACAGTCTTGAAGACCTATCCACTGATCCCGAGATCGCTGCACTCCTGATCCCGAAAAACCTCACGCGCGCCAAAGCTTCCATGGAATGGAAGTATTATTACAAGGCCCGTGTTAAAGAGGTCAACTGTTTGAAATATACATGTTGGAAAGAGAATATATAAAGAAGATAGGGGGATAGGGGGATAAAAAATGATGTATATCATGACTGGTTTTTCATTACTTCACATTTTCCAGTCATTTTTTGTACCTGTACTTGATTTGAAGGCGAATTTTGTATATAGCATCGTGTATAGTTACTCTGGTGAGTGGGGGTGTCAGGTCACGTGATCTGGCTTACTAATCCCTCCACCATATAACTTTCCACAAAGCTAGCAACCTTTCAATCACACAAGCTTTACACCTTCCACATAATAACTGTTAATTCTTACTTATCAAGCTTGTAAAAAGAAATCTGATCCAAAAAAAACCGCTCCACCACGAACTCGCTCGATTTTTCGAATAAGAACCCGCCGATAGATCCATCGAAAAGCCCTCGATCATACGAGCATTCTGACCCCATCGCCGACCGCATACCCTGTGTGGTGATGGAGTTATCCAGCCAAACATGAACCGGACGTTGTTCAAAGCTCCTGTGTGGGATTATCCCCTGTTCTCCGCTACCACACCACAACCCCGGGCCAGAGTGCCATACAAATTGTAAGGTGAAGTGACCTAGCCATATGCACCAATCTTCTCGATTTTGGAAGATCCCCGACCTGTAGTTGTGGAGATATCTGAGGAGCGACCTCCGCGAAAACCCTGTCCATCTTTGATGTTTCAAAACACCAACACCAAGTCTCACCCTCGTACCGCCCTTCCCAATCTGGCCCATCCCCGGCAGAAAAATACAAAAAGATACCTCAGTGATAATATCAAGCACATAATCAATGAACTCTTCTGAAGTGCAATCTCCACAGTCCGTCGCCTGTGTATCTAGACTTTAACACCAAGTCTCACCCTTGTACTACCCCTCTCAATCTGGCCCATCCTCAGCAGAATGATACAAAAAGATACCTTGACAACAGCATTTAATACATAATCAGTGAACAATGAGTCAACAGCACATCAACAACTATAAAATCAGTATATCTCAAGATCTGACTGAGTCTTTGATCTCTGTACAGTGAGATATATTAAATCTAGTTTTAATATCTCAATATTCAATAGATTCTGTAAGAGATTGAGAATAGCAACACTAGATTTCTATTGAATTTGAGAATTAACTCTATATTAATATAATCATTGACAAAGTCTTCTATTTTGAGATATAAATAATCAGTTTCTCTACATTCCACTGACAATATTTACATTATTATATAGAAACAGACTTATATTCTCTATAATATCAAGACTCTGAAGAGAGAAAGTCTTGATAGAGAGTATACAGTAGTATATATCTTAGCAGTTTCTATCTCATTCTTCTGCAGCAGTTAATGTAAAAAAAAAAAGATCTTAGAAATAGTTTTTTACTTCTCTTGAAAAAGTAAGGTGTTTTTCTCTGAGTTTTACACAATATTCTTACAAAGAATTAAAAACAGAGTTGTTTTCTATCATAATTTCATATTCTTTTAAGTAAGAATTACTTTTTCAGTGACTGAAGAGCTTTCATTAATACTTAATTCTTTTTTACACTCTTTATTGACTGATTTGAGTTATACACTTGTTGTGTGAGAAGAATTGAATAATTTAGAATAAAATTGAATAGTTTTAATCAATTTCTCTGCAAAAAATTAACTTATTTTTTATCAGTTTTTCTCTCAAAAACTGTCATATCATCTGATTTATTATCAATTGATATCATACTTTTCCTCACTGTATCTCAAGAAAGAGTTTGTAAAGATTTTATTGATTTATCTTAAAAATTACTTTTAGTTTATTAGATTCTCTTCAAAAATCTAACCTAGTTACTGAACTAGTGTGAAAAAAATCAGGTGTTTTATACACAAAAGTCTTTCATTCTTCTTTTGAAACAGTCTGATCAACTTTTCAATTAAAAAAAGACTAATAAATCTCTCAACTGAAACAGTCTGATCAACTTTTCATTTGAAAATAGATTAATAAACCTCTCAATTGAAACAGTCTGATCAACTTTTCAATTGAAAATATACTGATAAATCTCTCAATTGAAACAGTCTGATCAACTTTTCATGCAGTAAGTAAAATGAGTTCAAGAGTACACTCAGTTGATATGAAAAAAGATGTTTTCCCAGATGTCATTTCTGAGATTGAAATTCTAAAGAGAAGAAAGAGGGAAGAAATAGAGAAATAACAAGTTCTTGAAATACAGAAACTGGAAAAAGTAAGCAAAATTCTTGGAAAACAGTGTCTGAGTGAGAAGAATGAAGAAGTTCTGTTAATTCTTCATACTCAGGCTAGACAACTACAAGAAGTGATCAAGTTCAAACTTGGAATTTCAAACACAATTCAAAAAATATTGAAATCTTTCAGTACAGTCACTGACTCTTTTTCATCTTCTACTTCTTCATCTTCTTCTTCAAATCAGAAGAAAATATATGCTCAAGTAGCAGAATCTGCTGTCTTCAAACCTGCTAGTTCAAAATCTGCTCAAAATTCTGAGAAAACTGAGAAGAATACTTCTCAGACCTCTGTTCATAGAAAGGAAAAAAAAGAAATGTAAAAAGAGAAGAACTTTCAAATCTTCAGAAACAGAAGACTTATTCTCAAAGTCTTAAATCAGAAGAGCTTGTAAAAAATCAAGCTAAACTCAAATCTCATTTTCAGAATTAGAAATGAAATTAATCAGCAGTTCTTTTCTCAGTTAATAACTGATATTAAAGTTCAAAAATCAGTCATAGCTTCAATTGAGTCATCTTTCTTTGAAAACTCTATTATTTTGACTACAATATCTGAATTCAGTGCAGAATTCCTCATTCAGAATGAGAATCTCTGAAAATCAGCAATAGAATCTCTACTGAATACAACAATTCTATCTGAAAGAGATGAAAAGTGAGACAAATTCATTCTTCATGATATTTCAGTTGAAATTTTTGACTGTGAGGAAGAAATGCTGCTTCTCAAAAATGAATTAAAAGAATACAATTCTATTCAACTGAGAAAAGAGTCTGTATGACTTAATTCAATTGAGTTCAGATAGAGCAGAAGAAATGCCTCTGTTCTAGTATATATAAAAACACTTGAACAATCAAGAATCTCTGAAGTAAGAGTAGCAGATTTGAAAATGAGAGTTCATGAATACAAAGATTCAAGAATGAATCTCAAAGCTCAAACACAGTGTTCAAACTGTCAAAGATATGAACACTTTGCAATCTTCTGTTTCAGAGACTCAAAATGCGCATTCTGTGCTAGAGATCATAAAACTAGTGAGTATAAATGTGAAACATGCTCAAAAAGAGGTGAAATATGTCAACATACTCTGCTTAAGTGCTTCAATTGCAAAGAAAAACATGCATCTAGCTCAAAAGAATGTGTATTTGCTTCAAGAACTCAGAAGAACTGGAGAAAAGATGAAGCTCAAAGTGAATCTAAAACTGAAGAGAAAAGTCAAGCTAGTAAATTCACAACTGCAAGCTTAAAAAGAAGAAACTCTCAACTATCTAGATCTTCAAACTTCAATTCTTCAGCTAAATGTAAACAGAATTTGAATTCTCAAACACCTGTTAAGATTAGAGAATTGAGAAATGACTCTGATAATAAACTAGATAGAATGCAAGCAGTTGAGATTCCTGCTTTTCAAAATAGTTATAATCTACTATCTGGTGATAGTGATTAGATTCTACTATATCTTCACTCTCTTTTAGTATGAATATACAACAAAAACAACAAAAAAAGTTTAAAAACTCTTCAAAAATCACATTTATTTAAAATAATGTGAATAGAAACTCAAATTGCATTTATTCTTGTCTTCAGATTGCATTTGAATAAAAAGTTGACTTTGTACTTCTTCAAGAACTAAATTTTGATACTGAGCAAAAGTACATCATTTCTTATTCAAGCTATTACTGCTTTCTTTCTGAAAAATCTGAGATAAAATCAAGAGTAGCAATCTATGAGAGAAAAAGATCAAGATATCAATTTAATCTGAGATTTGATATCATATCTGACTCTGACATTCTAGTGGGTGACATTATAGATAAAGATAATGAGTTTGATACTATTCAACTTATAAATATCTATAATGAAAAATCATTGAAAGAAAACAATAATACCTGAACAATTGATAGAGAATTTTTGAATATAACTCTCTTAAAAAACTCTATAATTACAGGAGACTTCAATGCACATCATCTCTGATGGAACTCAGAGTGCACAAGAGCAGTAAGAGCAGATAAACTGATTGAATGAACTTTTGAGCATTTAATAGATTTAGTTAACAAGTCTGATCAACAAACATTCTTTAGAAAAGACATGAAACAGAAATCTATTATAGATCTAACTTTCATGTCACAAAATCTAATTGAAAAAAGACTTATAAACTGGTTTATTGATTCAAATGAAACCTCAGAATCAGGTCATGAGATCATTCAATTTGATATTGAACTGAGTGAAAAACAAAGAAGTGAAAATCCTCTTCTCTCTAATCAGTATAACTTTGAAAAAGCTGATTGAAAAGCAGTTGAAGAAAGAGTAAAACAGCTGAAATCTGAAAGACAGAGTGAGCTCTATTGAAATCAAAGTCAAGATATATCAAATGAAATACTTGAGAATAGAGCAAAGCTGATTATATCTATTCTTCTAATAAGTATTAAAGAAAATATTTCAAAGAAAAAGTCTTCTGAGTATTTCAAACCTTGATGGAATGAGAATATCACTTCTAAAAGAAAGCAATTAGCCACTGCTAAGAGAGATTGAAAGAATCACTTAATATCTGATGAAGAGTTCAAAGCTATTTGAAATGAATATTTTTCAGATATTAAAAAAGTCAAAACAGATTGCTGAAACAAATTTCTTGAAGAAGCACAAGGAAAAGAAGTTTTCAAAGCCTTCAACTATACTAAAACAAGAAGTGTAGCAAAGCTTTCAATCTTAGAATATGAATTTCAGAATGAATTATATACAGCAAATTCTTTTGAGAAAAAATGTCAAGCTTTTATGAGAATTCTCTTCCAAAACTCATCATCACATTTAGAAGAGGAGAATATGTCATTTCATG